AATATTGATACTCCTGTCTCTTCCCTGAGCACACCTGCCAATCCATCACTAATCGTCAGCTGTGAGATCTGATACTCTTCTTTGGCATCAGAACTAAGTATCACAGAAGGAAACTACTCCAACTGGTGATCTTTGCACTGTACTTAACAACATCGGGAAGTAATTGTGGCTAATTGTTATGGCTGTAATTTCAAACCTGACAGCTGGCAGAGAATCAGAGGTCTCAGTCACATTTGCTGAATGTCTCCCTAATACATTCCACCAGATAGTTTATGGCAGCACCCTCCAAAACGTTGCCCTTTGACTACTTGCATTTCTCCAGTACTGAGGTAGTTGCTGCCAAAGCTGTTCTCCTCTAGGGTAGTTATTTTTACAGTGTAATATCTTGGAAGCCCAGCTGGCAAATGTTGCCTTCACGCAGGCTGGGTTAGATCTATGTAGAGAAGGGTTGACAGTGTAAAGATTTTAGGAGCATCTAGAGTCAGTGAATAAACACTGGCTATAAAGAAAGAACAGGTGCCATCTGCTCCCAATCAAATAACTTTTGTTGACTTCAATGGGAGTGTGATGATTTTCACAGCCAGTGTATTTGGTTTGGAAATACTTTCTTTAGTATTAACAATGACACAAAATGATGACCCCCAGAAGTCTAAGGGGGTTAAGAGAACTAAACACTGATGATGGATCATGGATACATTCCCATGAAAGTCAGCAGAATAGATCAGTTGGCATTTAACAACGGTTTGTATATCCCAGCAGTAGGTGCCTGAGCTAAGATGAGGGAGGTAGCATTTTCTAAATGGCTTTGGTGCTACGGAGTCAGTTGTTCTCATCACAGAATCCAGTGTGGAGAAAGTGCTACCAAGGCAATTACTTCTAAGAGAAACCCATGTGCCAGGGATGTGTATAAACAGTTGTGCCTCTCCTTTCCAAAGGTGTTGCGCTTGGGAAATGCAGCACTTTAAGGAAGACTACTTTTTCTTCCTGGGTTGGCATCTTCCCTGGAAATAAACAGGTAACCTTATCCTGTAAGGCTCTCCCTCCAGCAGGAGCACATATGCAACTTCAGAAAGCCCTGTACCACCTCTAAAAAGGACAAACACTGAAGCAAGAAAAACAATTCTGATTGGGCAGTGCATGTCAGAAGATCTGCCTTCTATGACACCAAAGTCAGAAAAGAGCAAAATGCTTGACCAGTCTTCTAATGTCTGGGTAGATGAAGGACAACACCATGAAATAAAACCACTGAAAGCTCCAGGAGAGTGGATAAAATCTGACCAAACAGGACCATGAAGGAGCGCTAGTTTGTTTTGCAAGGCCTGCTGCAGTTAACTTTGGCACTTGAACTGGAATTGCCCTGGAAGATGTGAAATTACTGCTCGTTTTGTTAGCAAAGCTATGGAACCATGTAGTCACTGCTATATATCATATCCTACTGTTTTCTGGTTTAGCCCATTTTATGATTCAACAGGGCTATGACCTTGAGTGTAGAAGCCAAGTTGAGAACCAGGTGCAGCTATGGGCTCAACATTCCACTGAAGAATTTCACACGGAGCCTTCAGCCTTTGGTCTGTGCCTTTCAGCTTCTTTGGTCTGTGCACTACATGAGCCCAGGTTGTCTCCACACTTGCCCAACTGCATTCAGAGCACAAGCATCTGATTGGGTTATGGTGCCTGAATCATCACTTCACAGCTCCCTGGTCCCAGGGAAGCTGCTGTAGCTGTCTCTGCACTCTCAGTGCCTGAGGCATGAGTGAGGTAATTCAACAGCAGAAGAGGCTGAAGATAAGGCTTAGGCACTTCATCATGTGTCTGAGCCTTTTACACTAAAACCTGCATAAAGGCAGGTAACATATACCTCCCTTCAGGCAGTCTTGTTGATGCTGGTGCTCTAAAGTCAACGGATTGTACGTGAGGGCAGAAGAGGTTAAACTGGTGTAACCAACCCAGCACAATAAGATCACTCGCAGGAGAATTCAGAAAGGTGAATTTTCCTTTAGTTAAGATGTCATCTAGGAGATCAGACTAACTGATCTAATGACTTTTTCTTACAGTCCATGACTATTAAATGAATATCCATCTAGTTCTGCCTTTTGTCTCTCCAGCATGCAAAACACACCTTGCCTGCTTGATGGGCTGGTGCAAGCAAACCTGACAGCCTCTACTGACTGTGGCTGAACTGTAGTCAACCCCCAGAGTTGCCTAAAACTCCTGAGTTAAAGCTTAAAAGCTGCCTCTTACAGAGATAGCAAAGCTCTTTTCTCTGGCTTATTATATTGCCTTATATCTCTGCTGCCATTCCTTCCTTCCAGACTCAGTCCCAGGCATCAGTATTAAAGGATGCTTAAAGTAAAAAGGTTTGTATTTCAGAATGGCACAACATACAGGACTGGGGCAGTCTGAGTCTGTGATTGTTTTCACAGGCTTAGGAGCATCTGTAAAGAACAAGATGCTGAAAGAAAAACACATCAACAATAAGCGCTTGTTTTTTTACTGGAGAAAATGAAGAAGAAAGATAAAACTCTGGATATTTACAGCTCACCCGGCTTTATTCGGCATCTTTGCATGGCTGTAAAGAGCAAAGCACAGTTCACTCCAATGTTGAACCAACTAGGCTGGGCTTTGCCAGTGAAATTGAAAAAGACTAGAAGACTTCAAGATAAATAAGACAGCAGGAAAAAGTAATGAAGGAATTAAACTGACCTTCTTTAGAAATGGGTGAGACAGGGTAAACAGGGAGAGATCTTGTTTTCTTTCATCCTGGAAAAAATAACATTTCTTCCTTTCTAGTTCAGCACAGTTGACTGATTTGGAAACAAATCTGTTTTCTCTGGAAAGATTTATTTGCCCAGCAGACTTTTTTTTTTTTAACTTCTTTTTTGGCAAAAAGCAATAGGTTGAAAGAACAAGGCTTGTCTTGTTAGCAGGTTTAAAGGGCTCCATAATTAACTGGTACATTTGGAGGCATAGCATGCAGGATACTTGCTGCAACCTACTTTATTACAGTGTCACAGGGAAGTGCTGTGAAATGGGCAAGAGCTTTAAAGAACGCTGTTTATTTCTCAGACAGTATCAGATAGCAGGATTATTCAGTTATGAGGTTAAGCCAGAGCATTTGCTGAGGTAAGGACACTCTGGCATGACCTATGAGAACGTGCTTTCATCTGTGACATGCTTTCTCTCTCCCTCCCTTCCTTTCCCTCTTTCTGTCTTTTTAAAGTTGAAAACAAAGCATCGCTTATTTAGTCTGGGGACAGCATGCAGTTTTTCACATCAGTCCTTTGCAATACATAGTAGGTGCCTTCAAAACACAAACTGACATCCTGTGACTTGGGGAAGTCAGTTGCAAGGGTCATTTATCCCTGAAGTCATCTCATTTTGGTGCATGATCTATAATAATGTTATTGTCAGCCAAACCTCTCTTACTTCCTTATCCTTTTTCTGCCTTTTTTTGTTTTGTTTTTAATTTGGTATGATACTGTAGGCAATTGCTGGCTTGGAGCAAAACTTTAAAATGCTGGTGATTCAAAATAGGACTGTAATTCCACGCTGCAGTGATTTAAGTCCTGGTGACTTGACCTTGTGAAGTCCTAAAGATCTGCAGCTTACAGTAACTGTAAATAATGTGGAGAAGTGCTCAACGCTCCTGGAATACAGCTACTGTTAGCCCGTTCCTTGAATGTGGAAGCCAAAATAGAGGCATCCCTATTTGGAAATGCAAAGCTAGCAAGGCTCTTCAAGTGCCAAACAGACCCTTGTGGGAGGGAGGACAGTCTCTTCAAACATATTTCTGGAGATGCAGAAGATAAACACTTATCTTGCAAAATGATGCCTCTCATGTCTCAAGGGCAACCTAAACACTGTAATCTCTTCTGATTTCTACATAAGGCCAGATTTGCCACTGCTAACAATACTGAGAAGTGCAGTATTTGCCAATTTGGCAATTAACTTCTCCATTCTTGGATACACTGAACATTATATCCAACTTTGGATATATAAAACATTTCCGAACTTTGTACAGAACCCTTCAAATTGAGGGCAAGATTTGGCCCTAAATAACAGCGTAAATTTATTGCTATATTCCTTTTTTTTTCTTCCCCACCAAATACTATCTACCTTTAGACTCTGACCTGCTTTTGTCAAGTATTAACAAGCATCTTTGTGTGGGGAAACATCACAAGCATCTGGGTGTATGGGTGTGTATGGCACTAGGATTGCACAGTACTTGGATCTGAATGAGATCTGTAAGAAAACTCGATTCTCCTTCTCATTTAAATGCCAGGCCATAAATTTTTAGTTTAATCCAGAACCCAAGGGAACAACCTGGGAGGAAAATTGTGACTTGCTGAATCATTGCCTCTTCCTGACCTCCCTGCTGCCTTGGAGAAGCACAGAGGTATCTGCAGCAGTTCAGTTTCTCTAACAGCATCTTTTCGTGGTTGCATCAATGCTAACACTTTAAGACCACAGTGTTGTCTTTTCCCCAGCTCCTCATGTGAGACCACAGTGTCAGAAATGCCCTGTCTGCTGCCACTGGCACAGGAGACCCAGGCATGCAACTCAGCGAGCAAGGGAGGAAGAGAAGTTTGCAAACCAGTATGATTTACTTTCACCGTCTCCTCCCTATGAAGAAAAGAAGTGCAGAGGGAAAGGATTATATTGAAAAGATCAAAGTGGATAGAGAGGAACGGGTTAACAGGCACACTTTTCAAAAGAAATAATTCTCCTGACATCTCAAGGGATGGGTGAAGGGCATATTGCCTTGTCAGTTAAACGCAGCCATTAGTTTCAAGCCCATACTAATTAGCCAGCTTACAAAAACATGCTGCTCAGCATTTCTAAATGCAGACTACAGCCTCTGCCACTCCTCAGCATGGATATATTTGTCCACATCCTCTCAATGTGACATGCTGGTACAGAGGCGGTTTGGTTAGTAGTTGAAAGAGAACCTAGGATTAAACGAGGTCTCATGCAGTATTTTTCTCACTTGCTACATCCAGGTCAGCCCAGGACAAGCCACTAACTGAATAAGGAGTGGGAAGCCTGCGATGTACTGGGATCCCACTTGCACACAGAGGAAACTGCAGCAGTGCCAAGACCCAAGTCACTTCCTGGTGACTGCACTGCCTCACACCTGCCTAAGCAAAAGTCGTGGTCCCTAATGTCCACACAACTTGACTGCAGTGGAGCGGAGGAGGGCAAAGCTTGCTTTTGCCCTGTACTGAAAAAAACATGTGTGGTATTGCCCCAAGGGCCTGGGAAAATAACCCACAGTGCAAAGCGGATGAGAGAAGGACCCCGCTTAGCTCCAAATGGCTTTTGAAAGTATTCATTTTCCCTCCTGGTCCTTCACTTCCCACATTGTAATTCAGGGCTGCTAAACCATCACTAAATTGAAAGTGGCCTGGAAGCCTCAAGTCACTTGTATTGCTTGGGTACAGCAGTGATATGTGACTGGGGGTGTCTGTAGATGTATAGTTTCAGCTTGATAGCAGTATCTCAAAGTGTTTAGCTACACCCATTTCTTCCCCAGTAAGCAGATACTAAAACTGCCTGTACAGAGATGCATAAAGATGTGACTCCAGAGTAATTGTCTGCTGCAGAGGAGTTCAGAGGCCAGATACTGCTTCAGCCATGGAGACAGTGGGGGCTATAGCTGTGTACTACTGCTAGGAGAGCAGCAGGGCTCTCTTCTACCCTGACTACACCACATCCTTTGGCTGAGTGGGCACACCTGGCCTTCATCCATCAGAGAGTCCAACCCTCACTCTGCCATGTGCCTTTGGCACACAAGTTCTTTAGGGGAGAGAATATGTCTTACTGCCTTCTTAGGTGCTTTGTTAGTTTTTGGTTTTGCTTTTTTTACCACCCCAAACACAGGTATTGGGTGGTTTGAGCTCAGAAATCTCCCACAAATATACATGAAGCCCAATGGCAGGAGATGGGATTTTGCTGCTACTGCATGCAAATGGAAGTCATATTAGGGAAAGGAGCAAGAGATACTTGCAATGCACTTCTCTTGGTCCATCCCTATGTTTGGGGCTTTCCCAGTATCCCCTGGTCAATCTGTTGTTTGCTTAATTTTTAATAGCAGGGTTGTCTGGGCATTGCTTTTACATGTTGACACAAAGGGCCCCCCTCTGTCAGAAAAAAACCTAGTAGTTGCTGGTGTAGTGTCAGTACCTTTGTGTTGGAGCAGGAGGTTGGAGACAGGTTTCTTACTGGTTTGGGACACTCTCTGAATGACAAGGCTTCCTGGGGCCATGTCCTACTGCTAACAGACTGCAGCAAATGGGATGAGAATCAAACTTTATATCCTGAAGGTTATCCACCTTACGCATCTTCTGCCTGGAAACCTTCACCATGCCTGGGGCAAGGGTGCATCTGCTCTGCCAGGCCATTCCCCAGTTCAGAGCTGCTGACCTTCCACGTGTCTAGCACGCACGCACATACCAGAGTGCCATCTGCAGCCCCAGGCTCAGTTAATTTAGGCTTTCTCTTGATCCTGATCTTTATTCTGGGATACAGAATTGGCTACAGAGCCCACAGTATCTCCCACAGTGCAGCCAGGATACACGCAGACATTGTTGCTTGCTCCTGAGGTGCTGTGCTCAGTCATGGGTGCACCTCCCAGGATGGCAAGCTGGGCTTCCTTGCAGGGCTTTCCTGCCGTGCCCCTTGACACCATCTGGCTCTTGCGGAGACAGAGCATGCTGCTCTCCCCAGCTTTCTTTTGCCAGTCTGTGTAAGCATGGTTGTAAAGGGCAAATCCCTAAGGGATGTAAAGCAGAGCCATCTGACTTACTGTCTCATGAATGTAATCCATAACTTTAAGCTAGAAGTTTACAATCCCTTTTCATGTATAAAAAGTTTCCTGTCATGGGTTTACATCTACTCCATTGCTCTGCTTTGCATAAAAACAGTTGGTGTAATCTCTTCAGAGATAAATAAGCTGTCTGATGAAAGTTATATGATGCCATTATTTTACGGATGTTTACAGATGTCATCCTGCCGTGCTCCTGTGCCTGGATCCAAGATGGCCTAAATATTTGTTTTCCATTTCTGAAAGCTGTGGAGGAGAGAATGAAGATGTCGGTGTAGGAAGGGCAGGAGGGCAGGCAACACGAGCAAGAACTGTGTTCGTACACAAGCATGAGTGCTCTGGACAAGGAGCAGACAACAGGACACCCCGCCTGTTTCCTTTGCCAGGCAAGTGTTTAGTCTAGGCTCCTGCCCCAGAATGCAGAAGGATGGGAAAGGAGGATGCCATAGTGCTCAGATGGGCACAATGAGCAGGACCTGGACTCCATCCACAGAATGGTAAATATTCACTGTGAAAAGTCTCCTGAGCATAGCTATGGTCCTGAAAGCTGCTTAGTAAGTAGAGTGCTCCATCAGTGGTTAGCTGGATGGCCTAGGAGCAGAAGGGTCATTTAGAGAGATCATGTTTTTGAGGGGTGCTGGAAAAGGGAGCATTTCTGGTTCTGTGACCAAAGTGCCATGCTACAAGGAATGCCCTGAGACCAGATGTCTTCATTACAAGATATCAATAAAAGTAGTTTGAAAACAGATCTGATTTGCTACAGGAGCATAAGAAACAGATACCTTGATCTCTCTTTAAGAGTAAATGTATGTATAAGCTCCTGATATAAGTTACTGGAATAAACTATTGGCAACCTTTTGTTGTTTCTCATCTAAATGCAGCTACAAGTAAATAAATGCCATAAATATATAAAAGAGAAACCAGTGGGACAAGGTGAGAAACAGTAAATCATTGTAACGAGGTAAAGTATGACATCCTTGCTGTGAACAGGAAAGGAAAGGAAAGGAAGCGGAGGGGAGGGGAGGGAAAGGAAAAGGTGGGAAAAGAAGTCATCTGCCAAAATCCCCTAACCTAGCTGAGATGCCAAAAGTAGGAGTTTCCATATTACCTATAATGCAAAGAAGTGAGAGAGGAACATCTGAACAGCATATCAGAGATCTGAATCACCCCCTGGAGAATCACTGAAGGAAAGGGCCTTGCTCTGAGTGAGGTGGATGTATGTGGCTAAATCCTACTTGTCAATGCTGCTTTGTGTCTGGAAATCACACAGCTGGATCTGCGGAGAAAGCAATTGGGCATTATAATGATCAGGGTTGCAACTATCATGCAGATTTTCCTTCCATGTGCAATTCCCTCACCAGGTTGTCTGTGTGATTTGTGATGCCTGGGCCAGCAAGGTGAAACCTGGCTTGACACCTTCCTTTGGACAACTGGGAAGCTGCTCAAGTGGTGTGAAGATGAAAATACTTCCTCAGTATCACTGATTTGCCTTTTACTGAACAGATGAAGGTTTACTGATGTTGATAGGAGTACTTGAGGGGGCTGAGGGCACGCTGAATACAAAATATTAAATATTAAACTGCATTAATTGTAAAAATGGGCATTTTTAAGAGAATAGAGACAACATTTGCTACTTTCCTAACAACTGATTGGTGAAATGCTTGATTGTCTCTTGGGGAGCACAACTTTATATATTTATGGGATCTCTGCAGCTCTGTATTCCATTTTCCTTCAGAGACCCAAAACAAGCTTGGAGGTCACTGTGTTGGATACCATAGAAAAGTAGAAGTTCTTTAACACTGAAGAAGCTAGTAGTCTAAACAACCAGAATTCAATAAAGTGTGTCACCTTATTTCACAGATGGGGGCTTTAGTTGCAGAGAGATGTTAAGTGACATGTCAGAGGCACAAGCAATCACAGACCCGGGGTTCAAGGAAAAAGATAAAGTCCTACTGTATAGCAGTATGAACCTTTTGGGCACACATGGATGTATTTGAAAACTGCGATGTTGTGAACTCCAAGAATAAAAGAACCTTAATAAACACTATCTTGAGTTTTCTGGAGCAAAAAAGATCCTGCTATTGCTTCTGTGTTGCTGGAGAGATTACTGGGGTATTTATTACCTTTTACATTCATGCTCTGGCTTCAGTGTCCTGGTTTATAATGTCAAACCTGGGTAGTTTCATTGCTCCATGTCAGCCAGGAGGAAAGGAACGCAGCACAATTAACAGGCATAAGCAGTTAGAGTGGTTACATGCACGTAAGTAACAGTCTGGGAAATGGTGAGAGCTGCTCCAGCCAGTTAGAAGTATTAGACCAACCCTGTATTTAAACTATAGAGAAGGTTTGTAAGCTGTCCAGGTTTTTAGGCTTTGGGGTTCGGTTTTCCTCCCCTCCTTTATATTAACAGCTTGCTAGGAACTAGACAGCCACAAACTTACAGAAATGCTTTTCATCATCTTCCTGTGAATAGAGAGTATTTGGCAAACAACAGGAGCAAATCCAGAAAGCTGGCTTCCAGCTCCTGTATATCTAAGCCCCAGTTTACATCCCAGCTCAGTGGGAAAGACCTTTCCCATTTCAAGCCAAACCGAGACTTGTGTGCCAGAGCTGCGAGCAGCATGAGGTAGGAAGTAGCACCATCAGATCAGAAAGATGTTTGCCTGTGCTGTGCCGGCAGCGTGGGACATGGTGGGATTGCAGCTGCAAGGGGTGCCACGGGAAAAGGGATGTTTCCCAACCTCCTCTGCGAAGCCTTGGGAGCGGATGTATCCCCTTCCTCCCCCGTGGTGCTGTTTAACAAATGAAGGAGCTGGGGCTGGTTTAGCTTCTCTTTCTGCCAGCTGCACTGTCTCTAGGGTGTGAGGGTTGCCAGCAGCTGAGCAGTGGCATTTCCCATGCCCTTGGGGAATGGGCAGCCAAAAGGAGCATGAGGCATGGGTCAGGACATGGGATTCTCCCCCTGTACTCAGCATTGATGGGACCACACCTCAAATAGTGTGTTCATTTCTGGACCCCTCGCTGCAAGAGAGACATTGAGGTGCTGGAGTGCATCCAAAGAAGAGTAATGAAGCTGGTGAAGGCCTAGAGCACAAGTCTGATGAGGAACAGCTGAGGGACCTGGGGACTGGGAACTTAGTCTAGAGAAAAGGGGGCTGAGGAGAGACCTTATCACTCTCTACCACTACCTGAAAGGAGATTGTAATGAGGTGGGGATTGTCTCTTCTCCCAGGTTACAAGTGATAGGACAAGAGGAAATGGAAAAAAGAAAAGTTGGGGATGTTTATATTGGATGTTAGAAAAAAATTCTTTACCAAAAGGACTGTCAAGCATTGGAACAGGCTGCCCAAGGAAGTGATTGGGTCACCATCCCTGGAGGTATCTAAAAGACATGCAGATGAGGTGCTTAGGGACATGGTTTAGACGTGCAGTTGGCAGTGTTAGGTTAACAGATGTCTTGATGATTTTAAATGTCTTTTCCAACTTAGATGATTCTGTGATTCTATAACTTCTTGTGTTTTATGGGTCTGCCCTGGGTACTTGGTGTTTGGAAAGCATCCACCCTTTCCTGCTGCTCCTATAGTCCCAAAGAGGCACATTGATTACCTGTGAGTGACAAGGGATGTCCTGTTGCTGACCATGGCTAGGAGGATACTACCAGAGACACCAGCTGT